ACATACTTAGGTCCATTGGCTAGTTCAGCTGGTAAATGCAGAATACAATTATCTTAATTGAATATTACATAGGTATTCACAATGCAACAATATGAAAGTACAGAAATATGTGTTTTTGTAGCAACCCTGTAGTTGAAAGCCAAATCAGTACGTAAAACTACTAGTTTGAAAGCAATAATATAAAGGTAAAATTATACCAGTTCGCTTTTCCTCTTCTTTTTTGCTGACGTAGCTACCGTTTACGTGTGTGTAGCAGGGTCAAAAACAGCGCGCCATTTACTTATTCCTTCCTTTTATAGTTATATATGTTGGATATACCAGGTACAGCTAGGTTTTTTACCACCTGCATCCGGTGGATACTGCATCGAGAACTGGAGTAGTTTTATCCATCCGGATCACATGAAATAGCCAGCGTAGCTGCTGTCTTTTGATTTGCTGAACTATGTGCCGTACCCAACTTACAGAGAACCACAACTCTTACGCAAAATCTTTCTGTCGAAGACTTCTAAGTTCGACTCATCAAATGTTGTCACCGTCCATGCCACTGCACTATGTAGCAAGACGGAATGATGACCGACTTGTAGAGTTTGGACTTTGTTCGTCGAGAGAGGACTTTACTCTTCAATGGCCTAGTCAATGTACAGTACCAACTGTTGACAAGAGTGATCAGGCTGATGTTACTATTGGTGTTAAGGCTAGTTCCAAGATAGACGACCTCAAAGTTATGACCGGCAACAGTGATGTGGGAATGTACAGACTGTTTGATAGGTGGCAGGAGATATTTCGTCTTGCTCTCGCTGATTGGTGGTATTGCTGTACGTCAGTTTACACAGTCATCAGGGATACCCAATTCAGAGGTTAGGGAGGTAGAGGCAGTTCCTGTTCGTGCAGGCTGCTGCTAATTGGCATTTCTAACATTTTGCGTATCGTGAATATCTGGTCAATGGTTGATTTACCAGACATAAAGCCACGCTGATAAGGTCCATTAAATTTGTTGACGGAGGGTTTTAGCCTTTCAAACAATGCGCTCGATCTATACGATATTGAGTTGGCTTATCCAACTGTAATTTACGCCGACTGTGGGATTGCACTTTTGGTAGATTGGGCAGTGCACACTTAGATCCAAATCATGGCGATGATTTCATGCGACCATATTTTGCTAAGAAGCTGATGCATACACCTTATCAGTTCTATTGCCGACCTGCCGTAATCGGCTTCCGTCGCTTTGTTGTTTTTCAAATGAGTGTTTGCTGTTCAGGCATCTACACAGGCAGACAATAAAATATCTGTTTCATTCTCTCACTCCTACAAAAGTTTGCTCTGGTCTTGAAACCTTTTGTATGTCGCCGCAAGTACGCTTTTGCTTGGTAAATATTCATCTGTTATTTACTGAAGGAAATATTCAAAGATTTCAGTAGCACGACAGCAGGGTATTATATAGTTTTGTACCACATCTGTTGTATATTTCATTCTCTAATCAGTTCTTTCGAACTGTGGCTTAAGTCGCAGTTCTTCGTAGATCCAAAATAGACCAGTGATAGAGATGGAACCATTATTGAAATGGTATGAAGCTTAGGCTGGTCGGCTAACTGGCATTTCTTAGACCATTTCGGCATAGGAGAAATGAGCAAGCAAACTAGTAACAAACTAGTATACAACTAGTATTTTTCTCCGCGCGATATACCTGCGCAGTTCGCTACTACTCACTGGAGTTCCGTTAGCAGCAAGTTATTTCGGCAATAAATTCCACAAAACATTACTGTGTTCTAAATTATTATAACTACAGAAACTCCAAGTAACGTGTGCCTCAGTAGACACATGTACATAGAACACTTACGCACACGTTGCTGTAGAATGCTCTTTGTAATCATTATTAAAGCTTGTGGTAGCTTATTAAGTTCCATTTACCAAAACTCGAGAGTAATTGAGATATTTAGATTTGTTTTGGATAAAATCATTGAAGAACATGTAACAACATAGCAAACTTAACATAGAAGTTGAGTGACTTTAGTAAATGAATACATACAAACACATGCAGCGATATATAAGTGTATGTTAATATGTAAATATTTTCAATTACAAGTCGCAATGTTATCAAAATATCTTAATGACCTGAATGACACTGACAACAGCAAACAGGCAAGCAGGCAAGCAGCAAGCAAACATACATATGCCTGTCTGCTGAACTCTGTGCACATTAGCAAATTACAAACATATTGCTTCCAAATGCGCACCAATTATACTTACATACTCGCATCTAAAAGGACTAACGCAATTTCACTCAAAGCAGGCACTGCAGTCAAAGGTCAGCTGATGCTGCATTGTCAGTCGAAATTAATTTTTTATGTATATTAGTATGTGTGTATGTGGGTGGTGAGAGTGTATGTGTTGTCTTGTAGCTACATATAATTGAATATACCGAAACTCTAAGCCCATTTCTTAAGTTGTCATGCTACGAAAGTAAGAAATATCCTTTACAGTAGATGTCCTGTTATTTCAGGTTAATCATTTGAAGGATATTCAAAGTTCATACACAGGCGCATACATATCATATATTTTGTAATAAGTATGACATGTATTTACATGCATATGTGCAGTTGGTTGGTATGAAGAGAACTGCTGTATATTGTACATATATGTATGTATGATTATAATAATAAATATATATACAGTGAGTACATTTGCCATTTCAAATTATTATTATTAGCAAAATTTTGCATGATTTATGAAAAGGCAAATTGGAAATGTGTGCAAAATGAACTAGTTTATTTAAATGAGTTGATCTATGCATGCACATGTATGTGTGAGTACCTTGAAATTCATTAAGGAAGTAGTCTTCTTCACAATTTTTTTCACAATAAGAGAGAAACAGTAGCGGTAAACGAAATTTTAGACAATAATGTGGTATATTTTAGCTTTAAAAATCAATTTTTAGTATAAAAATTTTTTCTAAGTTTCCAATGTTGTGATGAGTTTTCTGAAGCGGCAGCAGGCTGAACTCGATTTTTTCTTTTAATATTTTATTATTAAATATTATTATAACTAAACAAAAAGTTTTAATAACACATACATACATACCTGAGCAGGCTGAACTCGGGTAACGGTGCTGCTGGTAATGGCGGTCGTGCGATGTATCAGAAACCTTCGAGCCAATTTTTTTCTTTCATTTCAAAAACCAAAAAAAAAAATTTAAATTACAAATTTTTGCAAAGTTCAAAAAATAACTCACTTCAATTTGGAAAAAAAAATAGTTTAAATAAAACTTTGGTTCTACTTTTTTAGTTCAAATAGAAGATTATCTAGTACTGAAGCTATGTAGCAGTTAGACTTGCAAGAAAAGCCGCCTCAATCTCACCTACGTTACAAAAACCCTTCTCCCCTTTAGGTGCACAATCAAATAAGAAGTAGATTAGAAAGGAAGAAATTAATGTAAGAAAAAGGTACTGGTAAGCTACTGACGGGATGAGACAATTAAGGAAATTTAAAAACGGTTACAAGAACAAGAGATTTAGAAGCATAATGTTACTTAGTGAGAAAAATTTAAGAATAATAACAGGATTTCTCACAACAGACGGCAACCTGCGTAAGCATATGTACAGGCTCCGAATCAATTCTGATAAAACTTGTCGCTTCTGTAAGTTACTATCCGAAACACCGGTGCACACACAGTTTGAAGGCGAAGGTCTCGCTAAAAAGAGACTGGCATACTATCTAGAAATTATTCAGTTGAAGGAAAATCACATCAAATCATTTTATAAGAGTACTAGAAATGGTTTAATTAATGTGAAGAAACCGGAGGACACTATAGATCGCGGTGCATAGCCTCCTTTTTGCATCCATTTATTTATCTATCTTGCTTACTATATTTTATTCGTTTTGTTCCAATTCTTATAGAAAAGAACGATAAAATCCCCAAATCAAAGTAAAATTATTAAGGTTTTCATTATTTAACTGATTTAGCAATAATTTGTATGCCAAACGAATTATGCGGCCTGCGGTTATTCTCACTCAATTTGAACCCAAACCAATTTTTGTCAATCTGACGGTGATACATTCCGGTTAAGAAAGTATTATTCATATGATGGTCAAGTGTCCCTAGTCTTCTTCTATGAACTGAGATTATTCCATTTAGGCAAATTATTGAAAATTTTAACTGAAACGAAAAATGAATATGTATATATTTTCGATCCTCTAGGCGTAAAAAAAGTTCAAAATAAAATGAACTATAAAAATGATTCTTCGTACAAAGTCATCTACGAGCCCCTGAGAAAAGTAGTCTTCCTTCTAAGCGAAAAAACGTCTAAGCACTGAATTTTTTCGTTTGGGTTAGTCCCTAGAACCCATTTTTCGGAGAGAAGAGTAGTCTTCCTATTAATTTTAGCAAAATTCGAACAATAAATATTGGATGAGTGCATAAGTTCGAGCCCGATTCCGCTGGATGCTTTTGAAATCGGGCTCGAACTTATGAATATGAATATGAATTTTTTTAATGGGTAAGTACCTGGTTCATTTCTCAAAAGAAATTATTTTGTATTAACCTTTCCTGATAGAAATGATTAGCCTTTCAGTATAGTCTGCCGGGTAGTTTTGGTGATTAATGCAGACAAACTGCCAAACAAACGTTTTGATATTTACAGAAAAGCAAGCCTTTTCTGATTGGTTGTGGAGTTAGCATACACGTATGTTCCAATCACAGGTTACACACGAATACTTGAATAAGAAGAATTTTCCGTTAGAATATAGATTTTTTTCAAAAACATTTCAGCATTCCCCTAATTTTTTAATAATACTAATAGTATCCATGCTTAATATTATTACCAAGAATATAAATTCATTTTCAATTTCACTAAATTGTAATTCTACTAATACATTCAGCACACACACACGCACGCACATGCATACTTACATATGAAGATTGCATAAATATTTAATGCTCTCGCAACTAAAATTGTTTTCCCTTTTCCACTTTTTTCGTTTTTTATTTTCATCTTCATTAACAGGCCACAAAAGCACGTTTGGCATGGTTCACTACCGAACGGTGAGCGTTCGATTGACACATATTGTGATGCTTGGCATTCGAGTTCCATAGATAAATTTGGTTATGCAAGCAATTTGCTAGGGAACAAACTGCTCGACCAGGAGCGACAAACATGCGATAGCAAATTAATTGTGCTCTGCGTGGAGGCGTTATCACAGGATAGAAGGCGAAAACGCGATCTCAGCGACAGGTAAGTGCTGCCATCATATGCATAGTATGCATTTATGTATGCCCGTATGTATACGTGCATGTATTGTATGTAATACACATATGAGTGAAGTTTGTTCGTTCTTACATCATTGGGAGTTGTGAGGAACGAAATTGCATTGCGGGATTAATGCATGGAAATCACCAAAATGACAATAGCATACAATCAACGCAACCAACACACCAGCCCACGAGTGAAGGCAAATGTATGAAATTGAACAAAAACGTTGTACTTGTATATGTACATATGTATGCACCTCCGGGCTGGGGGGGGGGGGGGGGCATGTGTATGGGGGGTTTGCTCCTGTGTGTGCTTATTTTGTAATGAATTGGAAATATTCGAAAAGCGATTGTGGAACGCATACATACACATACAGTTACATAGATCTCAAGATAATATATTATATATTTATAATATAGGATGCTCACCAGAAAGACTCAGAGGAATACTTAAAATCTTATGTGATTTGTAGATAGTGTGATTTGATATGAATAAATGTTTACAGCCAAGAGTTGATCAAAATAAATTGAAATTAAAAAATTAAGCGAACATATACACTGATGTGAATGCGAAAATGAAAACAAAAATTAAAAATAAAAATGAGTATGAACAGGAAAAAAATAACAAAACAAAAAATATGAATGAAAGCGCAAACTAAAATTAAAATGAAAATAAAAATGAAATGAAATTGAAGATAAAAAACAATTTAAATGAAATTGAAATTAAAATAGAAAATAAAAGTGAAAGTGGAAAAAATTCAAGATAATTCGAAAATGAATAGGAATACGGCTATAAAAATAAATATGAATATGAATATGAATATGAATATGAATATGAATATGAATATGAATATGAATATGAATATGAATATGAATATGAATATGAATATGAATATGAATATAAATAATTATAATTTTCAATTTTTAGATTTAAAACTCTTCAGACATTCAATAATTAAAACTATCTCTTCAAATTATTTCAGCGCACCCGAGTTCCACACGGCGGAAGCCTACGCGCGTTATCTGGAAAATGTGTTAACTTGAAATATTGACTCACACACAAAACCGCCACAGAAACGCGTCCGTAAATCACATTCGTTACGGCGACAACATTTACATCATCATCAGCGACCAGTGAAATTGAAGCAAAAAAATAGAATTAAAAGTTCAAGTTCTTAGATTTCGAAAACGAAAAGCCAAATTAAACACGATATGATTTTTACTTTCATCAAAACTACGAAAACAAATAATACTAAGAGGAAACTCACGATTGATCACTGCGAATATTTTTACATAAAAAACTGTTTATCCTTGTATTCAACTAGTTAATTGGTACTACTTAATGCATATACTAATTACATACACATGTACATTTACATATTTATAAAAAAAAAAAATGCCCATCTATTTGTGTGTGAGATATTTTTCATTGCATGTATTGTACTATATATACATACAAACGTATTTATGTAGTTATATAAATATATAAAATCAATACTTCATACTTGTAGTTATAATATTATATACATACATTCATATATATATATATTTATTTTTCTGTGTAACTACAATTAGTACAATAATATAAGTGTAAAACTGAAAATGAAATTGTAATTGTAATTTTGAAATTATAGATTTTTAATAACACAAAAACATTTTTACTGTAAATATAGTAAATAGTTTTTATTATTTTGTATTAATAATTGAGAGGAAAAATAAATAGCATTTTAAGAGGAATAGTCATACTTGTTATTAGTATGTATAAAAAAATATATTATGAAGCAAATGGTGGAAAAATAGCAGAATTAATCTTTATGAGTGCAGTAAAAGCTATGAATTCTCGAGCAAAAAAAATCTTAAAAATTTAGTTGAACTTAAATTATCGTTTTTATTGTTTGGTAACAGAAAACAGTTTTTGTAAATTTGCATTAAATTTTTTAAGATTTCTACTTTTTTAATTTCACATAATAAAATACATATATGCAATAGGCGATTTAGCTTTATTATAAAAAAATAGTCTTCCCGGCATAACACTCCATGGACCATAATAACAATCGAAAATAGCCTGAATATGGAGTTTTGGTTTTTAATGTTGCTAAAAAAGCAGTTGATAATTTCTTTTTTTTTTTATTTTTATTTTTGTAGTTTATATTGTATTTTTTTTTTTAACTGATATTATTTTAACTTAATTAATTTATTTTTAATTACGTTTTAATATTTTTTTCTCAATTTTTATGGTGTTTTTAAAGTATTTTAGTTTATTTCATTTTAAATGCTTTTTTATTAATATTATTTTATTTATATATTTTCAGTTTAATATTTCTGTATATTCTATTTTTTTTAATTTATTTTGTTTCAAAATAAATTTTTTTTATTTAATTTTAATTAATAGGATTTAATTTTTATTATATTTTCTTTTAAACGAATCATTTTTATTTTCTATGAATTGATTTTTTTTTTAATTTTTGTTTGTCTTTTATTTAATTTTTAAGGTATTTTTGAAGTACATTATTTCTTTTATAATACAATATTATTTAAATTTTTTATATAATATATATATATATATTTATATATAAGAATTTATTCTTTTTTAATTTTAATTTTTTTCATTTAACTTTTTTTTGGTCGTTGTTGTACTTTTTTAATTTGGCCGTATTTTATTAATATTTAATTTTATTTCATTTTAATTTTTTATTAACTTTTTATTTTACTTTTAATTATTTTTTATTATTTTTTTCTATTTCAGTTTTTTTCAATTTAGTGTTGTTTTTTGTTGAAATTAATTAATTAATTTATATTATTTTATTTTATTTTAATTTATTGTTTTCATTTCAATTTTCTTTTTTTAGTTTATATTGCATTTGTTTAAGTTGTACTATTTTATGTTAATTTATTTTATGCAGTTTTATATTATAACAGAATTTTTTTAGGCACTATTTTATTTTATTTATTTTTTTAATTAATTATTTTTATATGTTTTGTTTAATTTTATTTCATTTCATGTGTTTTTAAATGGTTTTAATTGTTTTATTGCATTATTTATGAGCTTATTTTAATATAGTATTAATTTTTATATATATTATTTCACTTTTTAATTTAAATTCCATAGAAAACACCACATTTTTAACTCATGTAAGAATTAAACCTGAAAATAGTACCCAAATTGATAGCAGATAGCATAAAAATACTTTCCACAAATAAAATTTTTTAATAAAATACATTTCATTATTATTATTTTTAATATTAAAAGTGTTTATTTTAAATGAAATTTGGTTGCTCAAGCATAATTTCTTAATATTGCTATAACTTTTATTTTTCTTTTTTGTCAAAACTTTTATGGAAAATTATTATAATTAATATATTGTTAACATTTTTAATTCACATGTACATAAATAGAAAAATATTTTATTTTAATTAACTCCGCTCGCCTAAGCTTTCTCTATTTGCTAAATTATTTTATACAAAACTTCATAAAAAAGCAATTACTAATAGCTAACTTGAACAACAACAGAGAAAAAAATTTGCGAAATAAATACACACACATACATACATATCTATACAGAATTTATTCTACACACCACCAACAGTCAACACAACATATCGAGAATTATGTTATCAAACAATTGAAAACAAATACAATAATTTAAAACCAATATGTTAGAAAAATATATATACAAATACGAATATATTATTTATATAACCAAGCCATAAACATACATGCATAGATAGTTTATTATAAAAATTCATATATTTGCGCATGCATATGAGAAAATTAAGTAAATTTTGTGTAGCCAAAATAAAAGCAAACAAACAATTTATGTACGTGTATGTATGTAACAGAATGAGCCGAATAAAAACTCAGACGAGTAAAAGTAATAAAAATAAATGAATATGTAAAAGAAGAAATTTTTTATACGTGAATTTTTAAAGGATAAGTTTTGTAGTTTTAATAATTACTCATAATAACTAATAGTAATAAACAAAAATATATTTTCAAAAACCAGTACTAAATACTTATTGTAGCATAAATTACAATAACGGTTCTAATAAATAGAGATTTGCATGTATGTAAGTAAATTTGTAATTGTAATTAAGCGATAGTAAAAAGAAAACAAAAAATTAAAAACAAAAAAAAAATATAAATAAAAACATGCAGAGTCTGTTATAAATATAATAATAATAAATTCAAAAAAAAAAAATTATTAATTATATTAAACGATTCAGAAGTCGATTAAAATTGTGACTTTGCGCGAAGGCAATGCTTAGTTAGTAAACATTTGCATTTAAATATGGCATTTTCGTTTTTGTAATTAAAAAATTAAAATCTAAAGTTAAAATGAAAACAAAAAAAGCAGAGTCTAAGATAATAGTGAACAAGAAAAAACTCAAATATTAGCAATAAAAATTATATTAAATGAATTAATGCAATAAAATAGTCAAGTAAATCCAGCAGCAACCAAACTAAGCATGTACTATAAGCTCCAAGAGAAGATAATATGATATGATGAAATTTTACATTCAAAAGTCACAATGTGTAAAATTGCGAACGAAAAACAAAAAGAAAGTGTATTTTGAAAAGAAAACCCCCTTAAAAGATATTTAAATAATATTTAAATTAAAAAGAGAATTAATCTAGAATTTCACATTCAAATGAATCGCAATAATGATTACCCACTGCATGGAACAGGAAATAATGTAAATGAAAGAGACAAAATACTCAAACATGCAAATACATGTAACATACACACACACACAAAACACGCAATGAACACACATTAAACACACATACATACATACACGAAAAAATCATATCGAAGTGAATGTCGTTAAACCAAATTCTAGTCCTAAGCCTGAAATGCAGCGATATTAAAGTTAAAGAAAAAAAACTAAATAAATAAATGAAAAGAAATGTACGCAAAATTGCAATAAAACTTAAAAACAGTCTTTTATTTCGAAAATATTATATTTTTGTAGATGACTTTGCCTATCTTGGAATCAGCTGATGTTAATACCAACAACAAAGTCAATCTTTAAATCCAACGCAGGAATCACTTTCGCCACTAGGAACAAAGAATGTAAATTGGGGCTACTTTAACCTGTGTAGAGAATTGAAAAGTGAAATAATTCCGTGGACGAAGAAAAACCAAAACTGTACGGCTCGCTCTTCAATCCCGTATGTTGTTTACTTGGCTATTCGCGCGTCCTAATAAAAATATGTCAACGTGTGACAGTAAGCTGCAATTGCTTTTCTGTGACCTAAGAAATTGAAAAAAATTACATGATTGCCGCTTTCAAACTTACACTACGACAAGTCTTCTAGCAGAGAACGTAAATATAAAGAGAAGGTTCAGAGAACGTAAATACACCGAGAAGGTTCAATTGCGGACCAGAGTGTAAACTGTCAAAAGCTGCTAAGTTACGATGGAGGCATTCCACCACAGGCCGCCAGAAACTAACAGAGTCTGCTATTGCTGCATAACATTACTGAGCGTTTACGTTCTCTGTTTGCAGGGCGACATAATGAGAAAAAAAAAACAAAAACCAGACTGAAAATGCCTTCGACGCATAACATATTTGTCAGATGTCGCGCTTAACGTGGTGTCTGTCTGCACTGCATTTCTTGGTTATAAAGTTAGCCAGAGCTAATAATGTTACCAAATCTTCCAAAAAGAAATACCCTATTACTTTTGGACGTACTAGCATAGACAAAAGCCTGGAAACCATTTCCCAAAAATAATTTTACGAGATTTCTCTAAAACGGTAATAGATTGTAAAGAAAAATTACGATAATGATGTGCTCTAACGTATTTTTATTTTTCACTCGCTAGATGGCGCCACAATAACTGTCAAAGCACACTCAAAAATTAAGCTTCTTAGCCACTGGAAATAATTTCACGCCGAAAATTGGTACACTTTTTTCCAAATACAAAATTTAAAATAATATTATGATTACTCCTCAAAAAAAATTTTTTTTTAGTTAGATGCTGCTATAACCAATTTTGAAGCTTAGTTCAATTAAATAAAATTTTTCAAAGCAACCTCAAAATACAGCCATAAGCCGATAATTAGCACATTTACAACTAAAACTAATAAACTTACTATTTGTGAGTGAAATCTTTGCCGTAAAGTTTTAAATTACAAGTCAATCAAGTTAGTTCTGAAGACTGATGGAAACTGATTTTGCATCGATTTGAAATTCCAATTGGAAATCAAAAATGTTAAGATTTTCTTACAAATCATATTCAAACTTGTCATGCTACCTTTCATTTATTGCATTCTAAAATTGCGAAAAGTTATTTGTTACTTGTTGAAAGTACTTTCATTTGTTTTATTTGTTTAAAAACGGCGACGGAGAACTTTTTAGCTTAGTTATGCTGCCCCGCCTTGAGGCGATCTTTGCGTAGATG